CATTATATATATTAGTTGGCCAATTAATTTCTTTCTATTTTATGGTAGAGACAGGGTCTCGCTCAGGCTGGTTTGAACTCCTGACCTTGAGCAATCCGCCCGCCTCGCCTCCCAAAGTGCTAGTTACAGGCGTGAGCCACCGCGCCCGGCCCGTTATTTTTAAATGTTCACAATTTTATTTGGATAACTGAAAAATTAGAAAAGTCATATCACGGCTGTTGGCTAAAGTCGACGCTCGGCTGTGCACGTTCATCTGTGGCTGTCGACTATAGTCGACACTTGTACAGAAGTGGTTAACAATTTAAGGTAAAATTTACATAATTCAACTAATTCCGGACCATTTTCGTCACCCCAGGAAAAAAAAAAAAGCCATTCACTTTAAGTAGACAATCCCAATTCCTCCCTCCCTGCAGCCTATGCAATCGCAAATCTTTCTGCTTTATGGAATTCCTTACTCTGACATTTCACATAAATCTATCATATAGTATGTGGCCTTTTTTTTTTTTTGAGACAGATCTCGCTTTCTTGCCTTTAGTGAGTGCCGTGGCGTCAGCCTAGCTCACAGCAACCTCAAACTCCTGGGCTCAAGCGATCCTCCTTCCCCAGCTCCCAAGTAGCTCGGACTACAGGCACGCGCCACCATGCCGGCTGATTTTATATATATATATTAGTTGCCAATTAATTTCTTTCTATTTTTATGGTAGAGACGGGCTCTCGCTCAGGCTGGTTTTGAACTCCTGACCTTGAGCAATCCGCCGCCTCGGCCTCCCAGAGTGCTAGGATTACAGGCGTGAGCCACCGCGCCCGGCCTAGTATGTGGCCTTTTTTATCTGACTTCTTTCACATAGCATGTTTTGAAGGTTCATTCACGTAGCATGTATCGGTACTTTATTCCTTTTTATGGCTGAATAAAACTCCATTTTGTAGATATACCACTTATCTACCTATAGGTAGATAAAACTTTGTTCATTCATCAGTTGATAGACATTCAGGCGTGTCTGCTTTTTGGCTATTATGAATATTGCTGTTTTGAATATTCATGTATGAGTTTTTGCTTGATCATGTTTCTAATTCTTTTACTTTTTATGTTTATTTATTTTTTTAATATGGGGGAGTGAGAAGGTGGGGTTCAGTTTTATTTATTTATTTTTTGTGTGTGAGACAGAGACTCACTCTGTCACCCTGGCTAGAGTGCAGTGGTGTCATTATAGCTCATTGCAGTCTCAAACTCCTGGGCTCAAGCAATCCTGCTGCCATCATCAATGAGTGAACTGGAAACAGGCATGCCACTATGCCTGCTATTTTTTTTTTTTTGAGATAGAGTCTCACTTTGTTGCCAGGCTAAGAGTGAGTGCCGTGGCGTCAGCCTACTCACAGCCTCACACTCCTGGGCTCAAGCATCCTTTTGCTTCAGCCTCCTGAGTAGCTGGGACTACAGGCATGCCACCATGCCGGCTCATTTTTTTTGTATGTATATTAGTTGGCAATTAATTTTTTTCTATTTATACTAGAGATGGGTGTCTCGCTCTTGCTTAGGCTGGTTTTGAACTCCTGACCTCGAACAATCCGCCCGCCTCAGCCTCCCGGATGCTAGGATTACAGGCGTGAGCCACCCCCTGGCCTCAGGATATTTTAAATATGCGAATAAACAGCTAGATGAAGACACATGTAGAGCGAGTGTCTGGAAGGGTCCAGCACAGAAACTTCTGTCCCTGGAGTCGGGGTGCACCGACTCCAGCACGTGGACGAGCTCTTGTTCACTTCCTGTAAGCCCCAGCTATTAACTATCGGGAAGCGCCCTGAACCCTGACTACTTGGCCTTTTATGGACTTCATTGGGTTGACATGACAACATGATTGTCATGCAACATGACAACCGTGTGGACAATAAAGATATGATTTGACACTAATAGACCGAGTGGGGAAACCCAGGAAGACCTATCTGTTCAGATTCTTCTTGGCCTCTCTGGGCAGCATTCCTCCCAGGGTATGGGGCAGGACGTTTCTGGAACAAGGCTTGATGACCTACAATCAAATGAGGTAGTCAGATCATTTCCTTATGGCCAATTTTGTGAAGAAAGGTTGGGGAGGTAGAATAATATTTTTAGATCTTATGGCTGGTTTGGGGAAAAGGAGTTCTGGTTTCTAAGATCTGCCTTATGAAGGAGGGGAACTAGCTTCTATGGTAAGCGTCGGGGGAAATGAGGGACCACAGATAGGAGCACGGGAGAACCCAGAGAGAAATCTTTGCTTCGGAGGCCAAAGCACCCAACTTTATGACTTCAGACTTCCACAAGGGCCGTGAGAGTTATGAGCCAGGGACTGTGGATTAGAACATAATATACACCTATAATATCACAACCCTTATCAGATACATGATTTACAAATTTATTTCTCTCATCCTGTGGATTGTCTTTCACTTTCTTACTGGTGTCTTTGGTGCACAAAGGTATTTTTTAATTAATGAAATTAATTCATCTATATTTTTTTCTTTTGTTGCTTGTGCTTATAGTGTTGTATTTAAGACACTTTGCCTGACCTGAGTCATACAGATTTTCACCCTTGTTTCCTTCTAAGAGTTATAGTTCAGCTTTACATTTAGATATTTGATAAATGAGTTAATTTGTTATATGGTGCACGGTAGAGGCCCAAAGTTATTCTTCCCGTGTGATAGCCAATGGCCCAGCGTGATGTATCGACGAGACTATTCTTTCCCCATGGAATGGTCCTTGTACCCTCGTCAGAAACCAGTTGACATGATGTGTGGGTTCATTTCTGGACACTCGATTTATTCCATCATACCTAGCTTCTTATTTTACTTATTATAAATCATTTGTATTATTTCATTCAGTATTTACTTCAAACTTCTAAAATTATTTCGTTTATTTACTTGATTGAAATGATCCAGAAATCAAATTTGCTGTAGTAAAAATTCACTAAAAATCAAGGAGAAATGGCTTGGTAGCATACAATGTTAGACTTTTACAATTATGTGCTTTGTTATTACAATCATTTCTAAAGTTATAAATGTATGAGATTTTAGGAATCCATTTCAATATATCAGAAAAGGAATTTATAACAAAAATATCATCAGACACGATTATAGCCTATATAAAATATAAATGAATACATGAAGTAAACATTTTTAACATTTAACCTTTCACAAACTTATGTACATAAGATTAAAATAAACAATTATGCATACAAGTTTTCCTGTGGATCTGTTCATCTGCATTGCAAGGGTTGCTAGGTAATAACTGCACAAGGATATGTTTATTCTGGCAAAGATAATCATTAGGGATAAATAAGCAACAATAGGCACAATATGTAGCCCTTATTGGCTCCCTACATTTTGCTAGATAAAGCATGATTTCCTTGCAATGCCTTTCATCCTTCCCTTCTTCCATATATATTCTTTTTTCTTTTTTAGAGAGATGGGGTCTTGCTATGGTGCCAAGCTGGCCTCAAACTCCTGGGCTCAAGTGATCCTTCCACCTCAGCCTCTCTAGTAGCTCTGGCTGTAGGCACGAAACACCGTGCTCAGCTTTATTATTCTTTTGTAACACTCTTGTAAAGTTAACATATCTTTGGAAGAGTAACACACAAATACAAAACGTAAAAACCTTGACCTGGTTGGCACTGCTGAGATTAAAAGACCCACCAAAGAGAACAGATTTTCCTCTTCTCAACAACGAAGCAACTTTGTTGCAAGTGTTACTAATATTACGTGTGAAGTTTGTGGATGTTTCTAAATTATGGACTTCTTTAAAAGAGTCTGTACTTCCAGAGGATGTGCTACTTGAGGCATCAACTCATGGTTAGAGTCTTCTTCCATAGTCCTTATGTCTATCTTGAGATCCTTTATTAAAATAGCTTGAAGGTGACCATGAGTAGTCCATGCATCCTCCTCTCCCCCTAAAAAAATCATCTTTATATACAATCATAAAAGTATGCCTCCGACAACTAAAACATACAGCACATGTTGGATATTAATGCTTTGGAGAGATGGTCTGGGTTACAAGCGCCCAGATCCTCTCATTAGGAGGAACTATTAGATTCATGGCTCAATAGAAGAGATTGTGTTACTTGAAAGGAAACATCAAGGGAAAAGAGTAAAAAACCTATCGTTAACACCATTGGCAATTCAAACGAATCGAACATAAAGGACATGATAGCAGAACATTTGATCCTCACCATGCTCTTTAGGATCGGCCTTCAGCTTTCATCTTACCTAAAAGTCACAGAACATTGACATTTTGGTCGCTCCAAGTCCTGCAGTTCTGTTTTCCCAGCAGGGGTCAACGTTGCATTCTAAACTGCACCATTGCCAGCACAACCCGGCCGGCCTGTGTTCCTCTCTATTTTCAGGACATAGATATTTTTAGAGTCATATACAAATATTTTTCATCGAAGAAAACAGAGAAGACTGGAAGGATTATTTTTTGCCACTATCTTCAGCAGAGAATTTCATTGTCCGTGACATTGCTGGAGGTCGCTATCAAAGTCCCAAAGTACGAAATGCATCTCGTAAGTCATCACCTCATACAGGGCTGTAAGAAAGAGAGAATTGAGGAATAGTTCAAAATTGAGTTGGGGGTGGGGGACTTATAAATGGAGTGCATGGCTCTGTAACATTTTGGAAGAAAGCAAATGGGAGGTGTTAGGTGTGTTCCGGGTGGGAGCCCAAAAGGTATGTATAGGACATAATACTTAGACGCTGACCATGAAGCCTGTGAAACAGGAGCTGCAGGAGTCTGGAGTCCGAGGTAGTAAATCTAACTGTGACCACAGACACTGCAGACCCGACATTCGTTTCATCCTGAGAAGGATGAAGCTACCCCCCTATCTCCGCAGGTTGCCACTCCCCGGAAAATCCCTCTAGAAAACCACAGGCTTCCTCTCCCTCATGGTGGATGCTTTTTCAGCCTCCACCCATCTGCTCAAAATCCCCAGCATTTTTGCTACACCTGAGGCTGGGTGTGGCGAGCAGGCCTATAATCTCAGCACTTTGAGAGGCAAGAGTGGGAGAATCGCTTGAGGCTAAGAACTGAGACCAGCCTGGGCAACATCTCGAGACCTTGTCTCTAGCAGAAAAAAAAAAATTTTTTCTTTAACTAGCCAGTACGGTGGTGCATGAGTTTATATCCCAGGTTCTTTAGGCTGAGGTGGGAGGATCGCTTGAGCGCAGGAGTTAAGGCTGCAGTGAGCTATAATCACAGCACTGCACTCCAACCTGGGAGACAGAGCAGGACTCTGTCATAAATAAATAAACAATATATCAGGCCCAGCGCGGTGGCTCACGCCTGTAATCCTAGCACTCTGGGAGGCTGAGGTGGGTGGATCGCTCAAGGTCAGGAGTTCGAAACCAGCCTGAGCCTGAGCAAGAGAGAGACCTTGTCTCTACCATAAACAGAAAGAAATTAGCCAAACAACTAAAAAAAGAAAAAATTAGCCGGGCATGGTGGCACATGCCTGTAGTCTCAGCTACCCGGGAGGCTGAGGCAGAAGGATCACTTGAGCCCAGGAGTTTGAGGTTGCTGTGAGCTAGGCTGACGTCACAGCACTCACTCTAGCCTGAGCAACAAAGCGAGACTCTGTCTCAAAATAATAATAATAATAATAATAATAATAATAATAATAATAGATCGGAAATATCTGAAGCTCCAGGAAAAGACTACAGAGGGAGACGAACAGGAGAAGCAAGGAAGCCCCTTACCAAAAGGATGCGGCGAAGCTGTCTGGAGAGACGAACTGAATTTTCATGCAGCCCTTCCCAGGCCTTGAAATTTTTTTCATGATTTTCTACAAAAGTATTCCAGCAGTAAAAGTAATCTTTAAAAGATAAAAAGGGCGGGGGGGGGTAGAAGATGGTTCAGGTCTCAAGTTGAGGGAAAAGAAAGAAAACCCTGTCCCCGCTTTCTCTCTCGTTCCCCAGGGCCGGGTCTCCGAGCCGTGCGCCCTTGTCCTCGATTGCTAATCAGCGCTCGGCCGCGGAGGCCCGGGAACCGGCGTCCCGCCCCAGTCCCGCCACTCCCTCCCGCGCGCGCACCCTTGAAGGTCATGATGGCGATCTGGACGCCCGCGCGGTGCAGCCGCCGCAGCCCCTCGGGCTCGGCCTTGCGGTCCTCGTCGCAGAAGTAGAGGCGCGCGGTGAAGATCCTCAGGCTGAGGTTGGGGTTCCCTCGCAGGAAGTCGGCCACGTGCCGGGCGCAGTCGTAGCAGGGGCTCCAGGAGGTGAACCAGGTGACGCGGTAGCACCGGCCCGGGTCCAGGTCCCAGTCGGAGATGTAGCGGAGGAACAGCAACTCCACGTGGCAGCCCGACTGGGGAGAGAGCGGACGGCTGAGCACGGACACGGAGCTCTGCTGCTGTTCTGGAAGCTCCGCAGTCCTTCCCTTTTGGGGTGCTTGCAGTTATTGTCCTTGTGTGACAGAGAAGTGAAGGGGCTTGCTCAAAAGAGCCCACCCGTGAGTGGGGAGCCCAAACCCTTTGTAGCACTCGTCCCGCGGGGTGAAGAAAGGCTGCGGGGTTTTTTGTGGAGCGAAGAGGATGAAGTGGGTTGAGCTGGGAGGAAGTAGCATCGCGCTACCCCAGTAGAGATTTGTGTCTGTGAAGTTACTCTTTTGCATCTTTTGAGGGGAAGGAAACTAGCTTGAAGGTGCCTGTTGTGGAAATACACCTGGACCACTAGGTGGAGGTGGGAGAGTTTGTGAGGCCCAGCTGGGAGGATCAGAAGAGGGACAATAGATTATGATGAGGCAGAGAGGCGATGCTGTAAGAGAATAGGCACTACGATGGGCTAAGAGCAGTTAAATAATGTGTTTGCTCATGATGTGATCTCTGTGATTGTAATAATAATTGCAACCGTGAGATATTGCAAATCCACTTAGTGTTGCAGAAAAGTCATTAGTCCCAGGATATGAAGACCTAGGCTCCATATTCCGGCTCCACTACTCCTGTGACTTAGACAAGTTACCCAGCTCTTGGTTCTTCTATTTCCTCATCTGCAAAATGTTCTGTTGCTGTGAGCATTAAATGAGAGGTAAGTGAAAGTGCTTGGTAAAATCAAAGGCTTCTATAAATAGGATGTGTCATGCTACCAAATACGGAAGAGATTGGAATGAAACATAATAGTGATGAGGTAAATTACTCAATACAAATGTAGGCAAAGAAAATTGCTTAGTAAAATAGCCACCAAGCAGTGGTCCAGACAGTGACATTCCACCCTGCAGATTCTTCCCTGGGAATCCACCAAGACTAGATGTCACAGCATGTCAGGAGATATCCATAGCAGGAGCTTATGTAAGCCCATCTGGATTTTGGTGAGGAAGCTTCTTGGAAATGTAGTTCTCTCAGGCAGCTGAAAGATTGATTTAATTAATCAATCAGCCCCAATTTCTCTGAGTTTCTGGGGATCACCATGTTGAATGCATTCACTGGCCTGTTATCTATGTTAGTAGGAGGGAATAGAAATCATTTGGAAAACAGAATTGAGTCTCTGTTAATTTTCCCTAAATTCTTCTTCCTTAATTTGCAAAAATTCTAAGGACACAATTTGTTTTTCACAATTAAAATTTTGCTTGAATGAACTGATAAGATTCCCCCAAATCAAAATATTCTTACCTTAATTAACCTCAAAGGCAATTCAGATGCTGGAGAAAGGGGAGGAAAGGTTGGGGGCAGTTGTTCTTGGCACTGAAGGAAGGCCGAGCATTAGGGTGCCCAGCATGACTGGGGAGGACATTAAATGGCATTCTTTGGGCCATGTCTAATATGGGTGCATGGACATGGAAAAAGTAAGAAAAAAAAAAGGATTTGAGGAATATAGAGGAGACAAAAATGCAAAAGAGGCTGAACGCAGCACCATCGGCAGGTGGCTGTAAAAGCACCGATGCTTTAGCTTTCAGCTTAGGAACCAAACTCTTTGATACCTTGTTGCGCAGGTGACCGAAGTCCAGTGAAAAGGAAGTGGCACTGTCCCGCCTCTTCACCACATAGCACAGGTAGGTCTCATGCCGACCCTTAGCCCAGCGGACGTTTTTGAAGTGGTAAAGAAACTTCCTCTTGTTCATCAGGAGGCTGTGGGCGAGAGGAGGGAGAGGAGATGCAGGCGTACAGCTCATTATCTGGCCAGTCTGGGTTTTCCTTCAGCTTTTTTAAAATTTGTAATTACTTGGGCTAAACCAGAGAAGATGCTCTGGCTTCCTTTGCTGGATGCCTGAGTCTCACTGAGCTTGGAATCCATCATGAACTCCATTCCTACTTATATTTAAGACCGACTGAAAGATACTCAGCAAGAACGCCAAGCCCTTACCGGCTCATAGGATAGTATTCTATGGCTGTCTTCTAAATGCTGATGACTTAGAATTACAATCAAACTTGTTCCTTAGTCCCATAATTATATTTACAGGTTTCTCCTCCAGTCTCTGCCTAAATGTCCAATATGTTCCTCGAACTGAACATGGTCAAAACAGTATTCCTCGGCTTCCCCTGTTCTGAACCGCCTCTCCTCCTGACTGCCCCACCTCAGGTAAGCAGCCTAGGGGCTTGGAATCATCATCCTTGATTCTTCCTTCTTCCTCGGTTCTCATATTTAATCCATCATCTAAATGCATTGATTCAGACCCCTGAATATTTCTTGAATGTGTACCTGCTGTACCCCTTCTGCTCTCTGCTTCAGTCCAGGCCCTCATCTTCTTCCACCTTTTCTGTGTCATCTTCTTCCACCTTTTCTGTGGTGCTGGCCTCTCAACTGCTCTCTCTGCTTGCAGGCCCACCCAGACAACATCCTCCACGCTGTCACCACGGTGATCTCATGGAAACCCAGGTGTGCCATGTCATTCCCATGCTAAAAACCTAATGGTTCTCTTCTGCCCACAGAATAAATTCCAAATTCTTTTTTTTTTTTTTTTTTTGACAGAGTCTCACTCTGTTGCGCGGCTAGGAGTTGAGTTTCCGGGCGTCCAGTGCTAGCTCACAGCAACCCAAACTCCTGGGCTCAAGTGATCCTCCCTGCCTCAGCCTCCGAGTAGACTGGGACTACAGGCATGGCCACCATGCCCGGCTAATTTTTTCTATATATTATTTAGTTGGCCAATGAATTTCTTTCTATTTTTAGTAGAGAATCCCTCTTGCTCAGGCTGGTTTCGAACTCCTGACCTTGAGCGATCTCAAGAGGCCCGCCTTGGCCTCTCAGAGTGCTAGGATTACAGGCGTGAGTCACCACACCTGGCCCCAAATTCTTTTTTTGTTTGTTTGTCCCCCTCCCCCCCCAAATTCTTTAATGTAGTGTTTAGGTCAGTTTTCAGAGTTAGACCTAAATCTACATTTCTACCCTTGTTCTGGTACTAGCTCCCTTCCTTTCACCACCAGCAGGCACTGTGCGGTCAGCGTCCGTCGCGCTCCCGTGCAGCCGGCTCCCGTGGGCAGCCCTGTGTACGCAGTCCCGTCGCTGGCGGCTCCCCTGCCGGCGGCCACGTGCGGCAGGCCCTGTGTAGACAGGTCCCCGTGCGGCAGGCCAGTTACACCGCGGCAGGCCCTGTGTAGGGCAGCTCCCTGTGCGCTGCTCCCCAGCTGCAGCAGGCCCCTGTGTACAGCTACCGTGCACAGGCCCTGTGTAGCCCAGCTCGCCCGTGCAGCAGGCCCTGTGTACAGCTCCCGTGCAGCAGGCCCTGTGTAGCAGCTCCTGTGCGGCCGTGGAATCCCGTGCACAGCCCCTGTGTAGCGCACTCCCTGTGCGGCGCTCGCCGTGCAGCAGGCCTGTGTAAGGCAGCCTCCCGTGCAGCAGCGCCCCCTGTGGTAGTCCAGCCTCCCCGTGGCAGTCACGCCCTGTGTCAGCTCCCCGTGCAGCAGGCCCTGAAAATCAGCAGCGTCGCCGTGTGCGCGGCTCCCGTGCGGCAGCCCCTGTGCAGCAGCTCCCCGGTGCACAGCCCTGTGTAGGCGAGCTCCCCGTGCGCGCCTCCCGGTGCGCAGCCCCAGTGCGGCAGGCCCTGTGTACAGCTCCCGTGCCGCGGCTCCCACCGTGCGGCAGCCCCAGTGCCGGCAGGCCCCTGTGTAGCAGCTCCGGTCAGGGCAGGCCCCTGTGTAGCAGCTCCCCTGGCCGCCCCCGTGGGCCAGGCCAGTGCGGCAGCCCCTGTGTAGCAGCTCCCGGCAGCAGGCCCTGTGTATGCACTCCCCGTGCGGCGGCTCCCGTGCGGCCGCTGTGTAGCCAGCCCGTGCAGAGGCCCTCTGTAGAAGCCCGCGTGCGGCGGCTGCCCCCGTGTGCCAGGCCCTGATGTAGCAGCTCCCGGTGCAGCAGGCCCCTGTGGTATGGCAGCCTCCCGGTGCGCAGCCCTGTGTAGCAGCTCCCCGTGCAGCAGGCCCCTGTGTAGCAGCTCCCTGTGCGGCGGCTCCCGTGCGGCAGGCCCTGTGAGCACTCCCGTGCAGCAGGCCCCTGTGTAGGCAGGCTTCCCGTGCGGCGGCTCCCCGTGCGGCAGGCCCCAGTGCGGCAGGCCCCTGGTAGCAGCTCCGTGCAAGCCAGGCCCCTGTGTAGCAGCTCCCCGTGCGGCGGCTCCCGTGTGCAGGCCCTGTGTGAGCGCTCCCCGTGCAGCGCAGGCCTGTGTACAGCCTCCCCGCACAGCCCCTGTGTAGCGACGCCTCCCTGTTGCGCGCTCCCCCGTGCGGCAGGCCCTGTGTAGGCACTCCCCGTGCACAGGCCGCCCTGTGTACAGCTCCCCGTGCGGCGGCTCCCGTGCGGCAGGCCCAGTGCGGCAGGCCCTGTGTAGCAGCCTCCCTTGCAGCAGGCCTCCTGTGCCTGCAGCTTCGCCCCGTGCAGCAGGCCCCCTGTGTAGCAGCCTCCCGTCGCGGCAGGCCCTGTGTACGGCACTCCCGTGCGGCAGGCCCCCTGTGTACCCACCCCGTGCAGCAGGCCCCTGTGTAGCACCTCCCGTGTGCCGGCGGCTCCCCCGTGAGCAGGCCCTGCGTGTAGCAGCTCCTGTGCGGGCGCTCCCGTGCAGCAGGCCCCTGTGTAGCACCTCCTGGTGCGGGCGGCTCCGTGCACAGGCGCCCCTGTGTAGGCAGCCCCCGTGCGGCCGGCTCGCCGTGGCAGCCCAGTGCGGGCAGGCCTGTGTAGCAGCTGCCCGTGCAGCAGCCCTGTGTAGCAGCCTCCGTTGCGGCGCTCACCGTAGGCAGGCCCTGTGTAGCAGCTCCCCGTGCGGCCAGGCCCCGTGGCGCAGCCCCCGTCGCGGCAGGCCCTGTGCAGGCAGCCTCCCGTGCGGCGCGACCGCGTCGGGCCAGGCCCCGCAGCCAGGCCCCCCTGCAAGCAGGCCCCCTGTGCAGCACTCCCCCGATGCGGCAGGGCCTGTGCAGCAGGCCCGCCCTGTGTAGCAGCCCCTCATGCGCAGCTCCCCCGTGCAGCGCAGTTCCCATGGCAGCCGCCTGTGTACGGCCAGCTCCCATGCAGGCAGGCCCCTGTGTAGCAGCGTCCCAGTGCAGCAGCTCCCCATCCAGCAGGCCCTGTGTAGCAGCTCCCCATCAGCACCCGACATGCAGGCACTCCCCCATGCATAGGCCCCTGTGTTAGCAAGCTCCCATTGCAGCAGGCCCCTGTGTAGCAGCTCCCATCATGCAGCAGGTCCCCCATGCAGCGCAGCTCCCCATCACCAGGGCCCCTGTTGCAGCATCCCATTCAGCAGCTCCCTATGCAGCAGCTCCCCATGCAACGCTCCCCATGCAAGGCAAGGCCCCTGTGTAGCAGCTCCATTCAAGCAGCTTCCCATGCAGCACTCCCATGAGCAGCCCCCATGCAGCAGGCCCCTGTGTAGCACTCATGCGCAGCCCCTGTGGGGCTCCGCTGCGGCAGCCCCTGTGTAGCATGCTCCCCGGTCGGCAGGCGCCGCTGTGCAGCAGCTCCCCGTGCGCAGGCCCCTGTGCAGCAGCTCCCCGTGCGGCAGGCCCCTGTGCAGCAGCTCCCCGTGCGGCGGCTCCCCGTGCAGCAGGCCCCACACATAACAGGTTCCCCATACAGCAGCCCTTCCTGTAGAGTAATAGCAGCTCTGCATGCAGCAGGCTCCTGGCACTAGTCTGCTTTCCTTCAGCTTTTTCTTTCCTGCTGCGTTGCTGCTGCACTTCCCTCTGATGCAATGATTGCTTTCCTACCTTTTTTCTACTGGGCAAAATCTACACATCCTTCAAAGCCTAACCACAATTTCAACTCTTCTAATAAGATGTTTTTCACTACCACTGTCTTAAATATTCTGTACAAAAATCTAACAATGACAACGACAAAAACCCTCCTCTGGGTTCCTGTTGCTTTCCAATTTATCACTCCCTGACATCTCTGTCTCTCCAATTAGACTTTCTGTGTTTTGAGACAGAGTGTCGTTTTATAAATATATATTTTTAAATATATAAGAGCAATACTTGATTATTGTCAAATTTGAACACTGTTGAAAAATAGAAAGCTTTAAATTTTAAAATATTGAAGAATTTTAAAATCTAGACTATCATCATATCTAATGATAATTAGACTTAATGTCTAATGACAATGAATGTTAAGATTCTCATGTTTCCCTTTAGTCTTTTTTTTTTTTTTCTGAGACAGAGTCTCACTCTGTTGCCCGGTCTAGAGTGCCATGGCGTCAGCTTAGCTCACAGCAACCTCAAACTCCTGGGCTCAAGCGATCCTCCTGCCTCAACCTCCCAAGTAGCTGGGACTACAGACATGCACCATCATGCCCGGCTAATTTTTTCTATATATTTTTAGTTGAACAATTAATTTCTTTCTATTTTTAGTAGAGATGGGGTCTCACTCTTGCTCAGGCTGGTTTCGAACTCCTGACCTAGCGATCCACCTGCCTCGGCCTCCCAGAGTGCTAGGATTACAGGTGTGAGGCACCGTGACCACCTCCCCCCCTTACTCTTTTATAGGCACCTATTTACATGATTTGGATTATACTGATTACCTATATAATTTTGTACCATGCTGAATTTTCAACTCAGCAGTATAATCTAAATATTTTGCCATGTTGCTCCCACATAGGGACTGATTGCATTGCTCCTCTTCCTTGTTTTTTCTTGTTTTATTTTGGTTTTGCTATGAT